CAGATTGATGTCCCTTCTCAGCTGTGTAAACATTATTTCTGATGTACATGTCATCAGTAAAAAGAAAATCAGGAAAAAAGTTTTCCGACCACATCTCGTCACCCATCATGCCTCCGAAAGGCTTAAGAACCGATCCTATGTATTCATGACAACAACAAAATGATATGTTACAACTAGAATCTTCATATCTTGGCTGCTAATCAAATTTTCGTCCCACCATTCCAACATCCCCAGTGTATGATGCGATTAGGAGCAGGAAGAAACAGAAGATATGAAGTTGATAGAATAAACACCCACATTAATGAAGGACCATGGAGGTTGATGGATGCTCATTCTCTCGAAAAGGTCGACGTTTTGAATTTGTCCCGTGTAACAGAGAGAGGAATTTGGCTTGCTGCTCTTGAGCAGCGTAAATTTACATTGTCAGTTTATGTTACGATCCATCTTTTCTTTTCTGATGATGGATCAAAGAACTTCTTGTATTGAATTTCAGCAGTGATGCTGTGGAATCAGCTTTCCACATCCACCTTTATCCATTGAACACAACCAGACCCTGGTGATACAATCAGACAATATGTCATTTGAGTAAAAAGCATCCAGTAATCCGGTTTCAGATTTGATCATCTCTTTCTTCATGCATAATAACGAACTGCATTCTCAACAGCTTCGAGTCTTACTCAGTGGGTCGTAGTCATAAACATCACCAGCCTTGACAAAGCGTCCCTTCACCCGCTTTCTTACATCAGCTCTAGCCTTGCGAGAGGCATACCTCACTTTTTTCTCAAATCTATAGAGTTAATATCAAGACGACAGTTAAAGAAGGGAGATTAAGAAGAAAAATATGGACAAAGTACAACTTTCACTTATTGTAAAGCTGATAACGACCCTATAAGTAGTTGGAAATTCAACCCCACTGAGAAAAACCAATCCCAAAGGCATTGATCTTACAAAGAGAAAAAATAAGAGTGATGAAAACAATTGATTCCAATGACTCCACATTCCACACTAATGAGTTTATTAAAATAACTTACTTGCGCGCCTTTTTCTTTTCCTTATAACGCAAAACAGCACTACTCCTGCTAGTTGAAGGGAAGGAACTTTCAGGACAAGGGGGACACCATGGAGGCTCTCCCATGAGAAGCATTGAAGAAGCTCCACAATCTTGATATTCTCCCGTACTACTCTCAGTGAGGCCAGAAAATGAAAGAGTGGAGTGGGCTTGCCTAGGAAAACAGAGGTTTGGTTCTGTCTTACAGCTCATCATGGAATCAGCAGATGCTGCATTGCTGCATGCTCGCTGCATTGCATTTATTCGTCCAATTGACGAGCCCTGAGTATGAATTTATAAGACTAACTATAAGTGTACTATACAATCAAGTATAAACTCAGAAAAGACCCCTAAAAATTGGGTCCTGGCAATGCAGAAAAATAATAAGCAGCCTTATTCAAACATTTGAACGTATCTACTTCGTGACATACAGTGCAGGTACAAAATGTTGGCAAGCACGTATATAATGTTCATACCATAAAAAGAGCTGTTTTAAAGTCACTTTGACAAAAAAACAAGGGGCACTTATGTCCAGAACATGATGGTTCATCCAAGTATTCATGAAAGGTACTGGGGTATCCATGCAAAAAATTAAACCATCATTTCAATTATATATGTAAAACTAAATCACTCCATGTGAGTGATTGTAGTTGTGATATATTCACCAATATGAAAGAACTGGTTCTTCATAAAAAAAAAAAAAAACCCACAAGCAAATAACAGGGATAGCATATAACTTAGCAAAGACTTTGTCTAAACCTTTTTGGTTTAGGGTACATTCAAGGGCTGCCCACAGGTAGTGATCATTTAAAAGCCGTAGGGGCCTGGAGCCAACATTTAATACCTCAGCCATCAATTTCTGGCTTTTTCTTTTTCTTTTTTCCTGATAAGTATTTCAGGTTTTCTAGTTTCTGTCTCTGTTCATGTAATTCTTTCACAAGTTTTTTAGGGAAATGGAGGTAAAGCTATACAATTCTTCGAAACTCCAATGCACCTGGATTTGGTCATATCTGTTCCAGGGCAGGTATTGTCTTGGAGCTTATTTAGAGAAGACCAGAACTTTTTTTTGGGGAAGTAAGAGTTCAATTGACATAATAGAGGGTGCGCCTTGGCATCAAGGTTCGAGTCATGGAAACACCCTTTCCCCATGCGAGAAAAAGTTGCGTACATCCGACATTCCCAAACCCTACAATGGTAGAAGCCTCATGCACTGGGACGTCCTTTTTGTTCCATCAACACATTATTTAATGATGGGGAATGGGAGAAGTGTCAGGGTGGGCTTTTCCAGTTTCTGTTGCAGTCATTAAAGATGATCAACACGATAAATCTACTAGGAGTTCAAAAGTATCCAGAAAAATAGGGTTTACATCTTTCCATTTACAGTCAAGAATTTTACTATTGTCAAAGGATCATAAGCACAAAGATCAAGCTATGTAAAATGAAGTGAACAAACATCATGCGCTTCTGATCCAAATAAAACACACAGTGCACATAATCTACATAATAGTTTAAAAGTAAACAACAACTTGGGCTCCTGAGAATGTGATCCGACAACAGGAGCTTAAATATGCTAACTCCATCAATAACATTTCATTTAACGGAAAAATTTGGTGGATGAGAAAGAGGGCAAAGTCTGTTGACAAAATTCCTTTTTGTTAAGATCGGTATTGAAAACCTAGATGTGATAGATTTGATAGAGAAGATTTAGTAGGGGTTTTCACAGAATGTGCTATTCAGATGTTCCTGAACCAATGACTAAATGCAATTTATTTCTCTCACTTCATTGTTCTCTCCAGGATGTTTGGCAATATTGAAAAACATTTAGCTCAAGATTCATATTCCCAAAAGTTAATTTCATGACTCCATTCCTGTAATTGATTAATGCATTAGAGGTTTCTAGGAATGGTCGACCAAGGATAACGAGAATTTGGTTCTCTGAATGCATTGCTGACAATGAAGTCAACAGGTAAGACAAAGTTGTCTACTTTGACAAGTACATCTTCAACAATGTCCCTAGAAATTTTTACAGATTTGTCTGCCAACTAGAGTATGACACAAGTGGGTTTGAGTTCACCTGGACCCAATTGTTGTTAAATACAGACAAGGAACAGATTGACACTTGTCCCAAGATCAAGCAGAACTTGTTCTATTCTGAAGTTTCCAATAACATATGACACAGTTGGACACACAGGGTCCTTGTATTTTGGAGGGGTTTTGTGTTGAAGCCAAAGCACTGGCTTGTTCGTTAAGAAAGCTCTTTTTTTAACATTTTGGCTTCTCTTGATTGTGCCCAAGTCTTTCAGAAACTTAGCATAAGAAGGGACCTGCTAGATTGCAATGGAATATTGATTTTTACCTATTTAAAGAGCTCATAGATTTTTGGCTAGTGATTCAACTTCTGTACCATTTTGAGTCTTGGGAAGAAGGAGGAGCAGGAATAGGACAAGAAGAATATTTTTCCTTTGATGGTTCTGGACTTTTCCAATTAGAGGATCAGGCTCAACTAGTTCGATGACTAGGATTGACTAAGGCCTTGGCTTTGGAATTAACATGTCTCCTGATTATTTTGTCAATCACCTTGCCACTTCTGTGTGTAGTGATAGCTTGAGCTTGGTCTTGTGGGGTTTCCATAGTTGAAGGATTTCCCACTTGAAATTGGCCTTGTGGTTATTTTGGTTGGGCCAAAAACTTGCCTTTCTCATGTGTGCTCATGGATTGGGTCAATTTTTGGATGTGGCTTTTGATATCTTTGAAAAACTGGGTGGCCTGTGCTTTGAAATCGGTGAAAGCCTGTGTGGATAAGTATTGTAGTTCATTTGGGTTTGCATGAACTGGTCAATATATCCTTAAGGCTCTCTTGTGTGGTGGTTGGTATGGTTGATGTACAGGAGGTCCTTGAGTTTGTGGTTGTGATTTTGTGGATTCATTGGCGCTGGTTGTGTGGTGTTCTCCAACTGAAGTTTGGGTGATTCTATCATCCTGGATTGTATGTTTCACAATATGGGTTGGAGTAAGGCTTGTTGAAGTTGGAAATTGCATTTACTTATTCCAACAAGACTTCTTTGAATGCTAGAATGGTAGG